GTAGTGGCAGCAGTAGTAGCAGTAGTAGCAGCAGTAGCAGTAGTAGCAGTAGTAGCAGTAGTAGCAGTAGTACAGTAGCAGTAGCAGCAGCAGCAGTTTTAGCGGTAGCGGCAGTGGTAGCCGTAATGGTACAGTAGTGGTAGTGGTGGTAGTAGTGGTGGTAGTAGTAGTAGTAGTGGTGGGGTAGTGGTGTTGGTAGTGTTAATGCTATTGGTGGTAGAGTAGTAGCAGTAGGAGGAGTAGTAGGTCGGTGAATATTTGAAACCCTTCATGGCCCTAAGTACCCTGAACTCCTTGGAATTATGGTGCTAGAGTACACTAAGGTCATGCAGGATTCTTGGCTGTACGAGATCATTTTTTCACTATTCGTGGCTGTTGCGGTGCTGGCGGACGTGAGATTGCTGTATTTTGACGGTGGTATGTATGCATATATGCACGGTTTTTGTTGTAGAGCGGGGTCTGAGGACTCGCAGTCGTCATAATCTTGAGAAGCCGAGATCTCTCAGCGATTTTCTGGAGTCCCTTTGGCCGCCCAAGGCGGCCCGGTTGGCTCTTCATCTTGCTGGCATGGCGGGTTCTTCGCGTCCTCAAGCCCCCATGGGATTTGCGTCGCCCTGACGTTCTACAGCTCTTGAGGCGCAAACCAGACAACTGTTTGTACGTCGATAAGCCGAAAAGTCGCGCGGGAATTCCTTGATCCTCTTCCAGTGTTTACTGTGTCAAAGTAAGCATGACATCAGAAGTGAACGACGCAGGTAGCACCAGTGAATTCACTCGCTCACTGGCCGAGTGAAGCGCTGGATACTCACTCAAACTTCAAGCTAGGCCTAGCAGTGTGTGAGCCGTTCTCCAGCACATCCGGACACTCAGTCCTAAAAATCGTAAATATGCATAACGACGATGAGAAGAGAGCTATGTAACATTTCTCCGTTCGTGATGGTAAGACTTATAAGACGAGAAGCGACAAGCGGGACTGGTTCCTGTCTTGTGAAATAGAATGGTGCGCTTTTGCTCTGATATGTCACCGCGGCAAGCTCTAAGACTCTATAGGGCATCCTCAGCTCCCCTGAAACTTCCGCCCCTGCCGCTGTTCTTCGAGATGCACCTAAGCAGCCCACTTTGTCCGACCAGATGAACGAGGCTCAAACCTTAGAGTGAGTCTTGTGCCGGTGACTGGAGTACCCTCGGGAAGGCCGAGCCTTCTTTGGATCAGAACTGCATCTTACAGCGCCGGGAGGGCATTGAGTCGTCGCAATAGATCATACGGGAGGTCCCTTGAAACAGTCTCAAAACTGTCTGTGCTTCCATTCTAGTTCTATTTCCGCTGATGTTCATCAACATCGTTCAAGAGGGCTTCCGGTTCCTGAAGGGATAATTCCTGTGCAAATGGGCCCCGAAAAGGGCAAGGCAAACATTGCACTCAGAGGAACGCTGGCATTTGGGCCTCTCAATTCTTGGACAGCAACGCCTCATTCTGGCAAGCGTGCCACAGCCGGACCCCTAGACAATCCCAAATATCCCGTTGCACCGATTCCATCTTGCTTTGCTTAATTGGGAGTAATTAGGTGAGGGAATATAGACCTAATTCCAGGGATCCGCTCCCCTCAGCACCAGTAAATCTCCTGCTGGTTTCAATGTCTCAGGGTCTTGAGGCCTGCATGGAGGTTTCCAAAAGTTGGAAGTCGCTTAAAGCCAAAAATGCCAAGAATGAACAAAGTCTCAGCCCAGCTTGAACTGTAGTGTATGACAAGTAAGCCAATCAAGCACACTTCGCCAACAAAAACTTGGGACATGGAAAAGTGGCACTACAAAGATTACTGTCCTTTTTCGATTGGTGGTGGATGCGGATGTGGACACTAATACAGCACTGCAGTCTTAAGCTACACCTGATTCACGAAAGGATTGTCATCATTCATGTTCGCAGTACTGATAATGAAGTTGTTGTTTTACAATTTGGCCCTATGTTAAATCCAGAAGGCTTAACAAATCACCCACCCCCCCATGATTTCAGATCCCTTCAACTCCCTCTAACATTGAAGAATCTGCCTCAGCCCCAGACACACTTAACCTGAAACCCGGCGGCTTAGTGCGCTAGAGTTACCACCGGCATGGGCATGCTATACCTCACCTTGCCCCGCAATTCCCCCTCCCCGCAAACATAGTCCAAAAACAAGATCCATTGGGATCCATGTAGGCACAAAGATGCACAAAGTTTGGAAAGGGGTAGTGGGCCGGGTGTAGTATATGAGCGTGTAACAAAAGCACCGTGAGCCTCCGACCCGCAGGGCTCTGTGGCTCATCGGGCACCATGTCCGATGATAACCACGAGGCAAGCTGCAAACTGTTGCTTCTCGTAGCCAATATTAGGTTATTCGAAAAAGGGCATTTTCATGGTGGTTGTGGTGGTGGTGGTGGTGGTGGTGGTGGTGGCGGTGGTGGCGGCGGTGGTGGTGGTGGTGGTGGTGGCGGCGGCGGCGGTGGCGGTGGCCGTGGCGGTGGCGGCGG